TCTACTAGGAGAGTGATTGTGGTCCTCGTAATAAACGAAGTGACTTCTAAAGACTGAATGGTGTTTGCGAACTTCGTATTAGTTATAAACCAACGTTAGCTTCACGTTTATGTCACACCATGGAAACAGCCAAAAACATGTTGCTTGTTTTTGAGCGGAGCTGATTGCCAACCAGCCTACTGGCTTGTCATGAGTGATTGTCCGTCGGCGTCTGTGTCAATGTTTTACTTTTTCGACTTCTTCTTGAAAACTACAAGTCTGAATGCTTTGATACTTGGTGCATATGTACCTTGGGTAGACCTCTCTCAGATTTGTTAATTTCGTGATGATATCTTCAATTCTCTGATTTTTGTGAATATTTTTGTCATTTTTGGCAAAAAGTGTTTTTTTCGACTTCTTTTTAAAAAACACAAGTCTGATTGCTTTGATACTATACATATAGGTACCTCAAGTAGACCTCTTTCAGATTTGTTCATTTTGTGATATCTTTAATCCTCTTATTTTGGTGAATATTTTTGGTAAAAAGTGGTATTTTCGAATTCTTGCTGAAAACAGCAAGTCTGATTGCTTTGATACTGTACATATTGTTTCTTTTCTAATGATATCTTCAGTTCTTTATTTGAAATGTGCATTGCTAACAGCGGAGCTATCTCAGCCAACAGGCTGCTTGTTTTGGTAATTTTGCCAATTTAAAATTCAAACACATCAATGAAACGACCATCATGGCCGAGTCCTGGATGTACACCCCTTTTGTGGTTGTTACTGAAGAGGACACACCATCACCTTGAGTTGCCGACAATCCTGGCTCTGGCATGTTTCGTGATGCTAGAACTATTCAATCTTTATTATTACTATGCTCAGGTCAGAGCCATGTACCAGTGAGTCTACCACACATGGTGCAACACAGGCTTCCAGTGCAACAAGAGAAGAAAGCAGTGGACAGTGCACTCAAGTATTACCAGACATGCACAATACACAGTGATTTGTGCTGTACCTTCTTATGTTGGGCTTTGAAAGGTTGCCATACCTTATATGACTGGTGATGAGTTTGGAACGTACACAAGAAATTATGACACAATATGCAGTTATAACAGCCATAAATTAACAAGTCATTGTCAATTGTTGCAATTAGGGGAAATGATAATCAAATAAATCAATATGGCCAATCATGTCTGCAAGTGTATCATATTTTATCTGGTCAGAAATTGAGTTGTTATTGACATAATATATACCGGTATAATCAGATTAGATATGAAAATCACTGGTCATATGACAAGGTAATACCTGATTTTTAGTGTCAGCTGTCTTTAATCAGGTGACAACATTATTGTATGTGTATGTGTGCAATGATGGACAATCTAGGTATAATAAACTTTAGAGTGATTCACTCTATGAATGTATGAAACATACATGTTTGTCCAATAGAATTTGTCAAAAACAAAATGGCTGCCAGTTGATCATCTTGAGTTGAATTTACCTATAACTCAATGTGACATGCATAAACTACCCATAATGGTAAATTCTTCCACCAACACATAACAGACCTGTCAAAAAAAGTCTGCCATCTTTGACTAAATCACTGCAAGTACATTTGTATCGTAACGAATAGGTGAGGTTTGAAGAGAATTTGGTCCAGGGATATCTCAGCGCGCGCGCGCACACACACACACACACACACGCACGCACGCACGCACGCACGCACGCACTCACGCACGCACGCACGCACGCACGCACGCACGCACGCACGCACGCACGCACGCACGCGCGCGCGCGCCAATGGCCTGTTGCTCAATGGCTATTGTACAAACGATTAGAGCTGTATATCTCAAAAGGCAATGAGTGAGACAATAAAACATAATGCTAAAAGTGGAATTTTTTACAGAAATATTCAATAAAATTAGAATCAAAGAGAGCTTTAAAAAAACTCCAGCATGTTGAGAGAATAACATAACATGATATTTGCAATTATTTGTAATACATGTATATACCAAGTTTTGTTGAAATATGTTGAATGGTTCTTGAAATAGCACCCACATGGCTTGAATTTCAATAGCTGATATGATCCACCAAAAAATAAATATATCTGGAAACTGCCCCAACACATCTATGCACCGAGTTTTATTAAAACATATTAAATGGTTCTCAAGATATCACCAAAATAGTCTAAATATTGGTATGTGATTTAGGCAATTTGCATAATTTTCCACCAAAATCAATCATGTCTATACACATTTAAATATGTTGAGTGGTTATGTTTTCATTACAATCACAATAGACCAATCAAGAAAACTTAGAACTCTCATGTGAGAATGAGAAACAGTTGACAGAACAAATAAGAAACATTACATATCTCCCTGTGAGCATATAATTTCAATATGGCATCATTGTATAATCTTCCCAAGTTTTGTCCATTTTCCAACAACTGTAGTGCATTAAGGAAAAGGTAATAAAAAAAATGTCTCCACTTTTAATGGGTGAAGTGTCATCCAAGCTACATGTGTACCAAGTATCAAAGAATTTGGACTACTGGTTTTGAAGTACTATTTTTAAAATGACAAAATATTTGCTAAAAATAGAGAATTGAAGATGTCACAAAGTGAACAAATCTGATAGAGGTCCACCCAACGTATGTACCATGCTGGTTTGAGAGCAATCGGACTACCAGTTTTGGAGAAGAAGTCAAAAATAGCATTTTTGACCACAAATGACAAAAAATATTCGCTAAAAATAGAAGATATAGACATGAAATGAACAAATCTGATAGAGGTCCACCCAAAGTATATACCACGCGAGTTTGAGTGCAATCGGACCATCAGTTTCAGAGAAGAAGTCGAAAATAGCATTTTTGACCAAAAATTATCATTTTAAAACATTGGCCAAAATTAGGAAATTGAAAATTTTCTTACCAAATTAACAAAAACTGATAGAGGACAACCCAAGACACATGCACTATTAATATCAGCACTGTAGACCACTACTGTCATAGTAGCATAGAAGAAATTTTAGAGTTTTGGGGGGCTAATTTGCATAATTTTTGGCAGATCGAATTCACATGAACAAATTACCATCTACATTCATCAAGGCATCCACACACCAAAAATCGAGTCAAACGGTTCGGCAGTTTTTGAGTCGTGCACAGACAGATAGATTGATAGATAGACGGACGACAGACGCAGGACAGAAACTCATCCCATAGGCTCAGCGGACCTATGGTCTGTTGAGCCAACAAAACCAAGTAAGTTCTCATGGTCAATGATCTTCATCAGATTACCGGTATGTTCTATATGCATTTGGAAAAATTGAACAATATTTGTATAGTGTGAGAGTAGTTTATTTATCAAAATATCTTGTACATCAAAATCATGTCTGCCATTTCCTGGTTGGTTCCAAAGCACTGTCATGTCTTCATAGCTGTCACACTGCACAGGCTAATATTAATTTGATTTTCTTTACTATATCTGTAAAATTACATTAATCTGACATTTAAAATTTAACAGTTGAAAAAAAGTCAGTTATAAAAATAGTTGGTAACCAACATTTGTAATACTGAAATATACATCTTAATAAAAAATGAATCAATGATTTAAACTATAATTGGAAAATCTGCCGAGTGATGAAATCGTGATCTTGTATTGTACATGTATGTATACACTGAAAATATAAAAATGATAATACAAACATTCTAACCTATGCTATCGATAAAGAGCCATTGCTCGAAACGTCTAGCTATTTTTAATAGTTATTTAGGACTACGATTACCAAATATTATCTTCTATATATAATACAAACATGTTGTGTTCAGTAAGTGAAAAATTGTAACCTACTTGATAAAATAAAGTAGTGCTCCTTTCGTAAGCTACACCAGATTTACACAATTGATCAACCACATAATTATTAAAAATACTAAATAAATATGACTAAAATTCAATAGAATTTGATATCTATATAAGTAACAAATAAAATCACAAAATTTTTATTTTCTTTAAAAGTAAAGCGGCCTCTACATGTTCCTGAGATATAGGGAAGTTTTAATTTTAATAGGAATAAAAATAAAAGATGATGTTTTGTAACTAGGGTGACCATGTGATCCAACATATCACAAGAAATTACATGACAAAAACTTGAAATCTACTGAGAGCTGCTTAAATTATTCATTACCACTTATGTCATGACTGTGTGCAATGAGAAACTAATTATGTATACATCTTCAGTTACCATAGCAACTTTTATGCTGGTATTCATTTTCATCTGATGCAGTCAGCATTTTTCCACTGTGAAAAAAAAACAGTTATTGCATCACACTGTAGATCTTCTGAACATATCACACACATGTTACATGGCCTGATGTCTTAGATTGCAATACACATGTTACATGGCCTGATATATTAGATTTGCATCCACATAATGATAAGTAAGGAGTATTTACCTTGCAGTGTGCTACCATTTATTGCCACCATATTTTTGAAATCTAGTGGAATTTCCAACTAGAATACAAATAAAGCATAACAATTATGTAACTGCATAAATAAGTACATA